AAAGCCCAGCAGCTCCTCGAGCTCCCTGCTCATCGAGGACATCGACTCGGAGGAGGTCTTTGAGGCCAAGTTCAAGCGGAGCCGGGAGTCGTCCTTCAGCCGCGGGCTGAAGCTCCTCACCCGCTCGCGCTCGGAAGACCGGCACTTGGCCAGCCCCTCGTCCCGCGATGAGGGCATCTACCGGCCCACGCCGGCTGGTGTGCCCCTGGAGCTGCGCAAGGGCCGGCCCACCGGCTTGGTGGAGAAGTCCAAGTCAGTGCAGGACCTGCACGAGGTGGAGAAGGATGTTGGCTTCATTCGGAGGATGAGTCTGCGCCTCAAGCGGACACCACCTGCAGAGAGGAAGAAGACCAAGGGAGAAGAAGGAGGAGGAGAAACCCCAACGCGTGGGCGCCGTTTCTCCTGGAGCCTGGGATTGGGCAGCTCCAAGGAGCGGAGGGACTCCGAAAGCCTCAAGTCAGAGCCGGGTGCTGGTGGGAGCGAGTCGCCGGTGGTAGCCGTGCGGAGGAAGATCAGCGCCACCATGGACCGGGTCTCCTCGCGGCTGCGCAGTCTCTCAGATGAGCGAACAGAGGATGAAGGGGCCAAGGAGCAACCGGAGAAGCACCTCTCCCTGCTCCGACGGGCCAATTCGGAGGGGGAGAGCCTGCGGCAGGTGGGCGTCACGGCGCAGAACCAGGTGGGCCCCCATCCGGCATTCGCACCCTCCTCCGAGTCCCTGCAGTCAGAAGGCAGCATCCTTTCCTCCACGTCTGCCAAAGGTGAGCTGAGGGCTGGGGGCTCCCCTTGGTGGGTAGCACTCGAGCTGTGGTGTCCTGCCAGGGTCCCTGGATAGCGCGCGGCAGGACATCGCCATCCTGAGCATCCCAGGAGGGCATGCCCACCCCGAGCTTGTCACTGTCCCCAGCCCTCAGCTGCCTCTGATGTGTTGTCGGGTCTGTGCAGGTGCTGGTGAGAGCCAGAAACGGTCCCGCTGGGAGCGCTGGGGCCTGTCCCGGCCCAGGAAGGAGAAGGGAGCCTCGCAGCCCAACATCCCCTCCAGCCTGCTGCAGGAGGATGGCTCCATCGCAGGCCGGCAGCACGTGCACAGCGAGTCTGGTGGGTATAGCCCCAGTGGGGACACGTCGGTGTCCTGCCACCCCAGCTGCAGGAGCTGGGCTGGGACCGGGTGCAGGGGCCACTGTCAGTGCTCATCGTCCCTCTCTGCAGCTCTGCTCCCCAGCTCGAGGGGCATGGCCAGGCTCAGCAACCCCAGGGCAACCCCTGAGGGTGCTGCCTGCAGCTCCAGAGCAGCGGACAGAGGTGGGGACTGGTCCCTGCAGGGCTCTGTCCCACTGATGCCCCAGCCTTACCCTGCCCTTGTGCCCCACTCTGCTCTCCAGATTTCCCCCCTGTTTTCCACATCAAGTTGAAGGACCAGGTGCTGCTGGAGGGCGATGCGCTGACCCTTTGCTGCCTGCCTGCTGGCAGCCCGACCCCCAGAATTATCTGGATGAAAGGTGAGGGGCTGCCATGGTGCAAGGTGGGCTGTCCCAGGGGCTGCCGGGGCAGCGGGGTCCCTGGCATCGCTCTCTCTGCTCTCCCTTGCAGACAAGCGGTCACTGCAGTCGGACAACGTGCTGAACATCGTCTCCTGCAAGGACGGCCGCCAGATGCTCACCATCTCCAAGGTCTCCAGGAAGGACGCGGGGCTGTATGAGTGTGCAGCCGCCAACACTCTGGGCACAGCCATCAGCTCCTGCACGCTGGCTGTGGCACGTAAGGATGCTGGGGAGACCTCAGGGGATACAGGTGCTACCCAACAGGGGTCAAAGCACATCCCGGGCTCGGGGTTTGCCTGCTTCAGCTGCTCGGTGCCTGGCTCTGGCACGAGGGACCTGCTCTGGGCATAGCTGTTAATAGTGGCACAGAGCTCCCGGCTGGGGGCACCCATCGGAGTGCTTGATCTCTGCTCACCACATCCCCAAGGCAGTGCGGGCACTATTACAGTGGCCCCATGCCCTTCTCTCACAAGTTCCTGGGTTCTCCTAATAGTCAGAGCAAAACTGCTTTTGACCCTGCTACTGCTGTTTGCAGCAGTGGTACCCAGCCCACTTGCTCACTCCAGGCCTGGCTTGCTTTTCCTCTACTCCAGGCCCAGCTCTGAGCACCACCAGAGCCTCAAGCATCTGCAAAAGAGACGGGGGCTTTTGAGGAGGGGGCTGGCTGTGTTCCGTGGGTGTCTCCAGTCGGGCCCTGTGTGTCTGAGCCCAGGTGCTGTGCGGCCCTGGCTCTGCAACTGCCCTGCTGGGTGCCCCAGCCTGCCCTGTGTGTCCCCTCGCAGGACTCCCCGGGAGGCCGGGCACCCCAGAGATCCCCCAAAAGTATAAGAACACGGTGCTGGTGCTCTGGAAGCCTGCGGAGAGCAAGGCCCCCTGCACCTACACACTGGAGCGCAAGCTGGACGGTATGTGGAGCTGGTTCTGCCTGTGCTCTGGCCTGCGAATGTGTCCGGCTCCCGGGCGACCCATCCCAGTGGCACCTCCCAGCTCTTCCCTGCTCTCCTGGCAAAAGCCTGTGGGTCTGGAGGACCAGGGTTCAGGGCAAATCCAGGCAGAGCCAAGCCCTGTTGCCCTTTGCTCCCCATGCACTTGCCAACTGGCCTCTCAGGTCTGAAGCCCACACTGGGGACATCCTGGTCATGGGGTGGCCTCTGGGAAGTGTCTGCACACTCAGCCTGCATGCTGGCTTCTGCCAATGGGCAACTCCATGGGCGAAAACCCTGGGAGGGTAAACGCCACAGAGGGGCTGAGGCACTACACACTTTTCTGGAAGCAACATCTGGAAAATAGCCCTGGCCTCACACAGCGACACCAAACCAGGACAGAAAGTCCCCGCCGTCTTGGGCAATGCTCACTGCGCCATGCTGCTCTGACCCTCGCTTGCCTCTGCTGACAGGAGAGCATGAGTGGAAGATCGTCAGCACCGGCATCGTCGACTGCTACTTTAACGTGACGGATCTACCGCCCAGGAGCACGGCCAGGTTTCGGGTGGCCTGTGTGAACAAGGCCGGGCAGGGCCCCTACAGCACCCCCTCGGGCAAGGTGCACCTCGACGCGGCAGGTGAGCAAGTGCCCTGCCATGGGGCAGAGCCCACTGCGGTGCTGCCCCACGGCCGTGCCCATGGGGCCCAAGGGGTGTCCCCAGCACATGCCTCCCAATCCTCCTTGCAGCCTCCCGAGCTGCCCCTGCCAAGGAGGACGTCGCTATCCCTGTCCCTGAGAAGGAGGCCTCCA